AACTTTTGAGAATCCGGCAGATTGAGCGAAAGTTTCCTTTTTTGGCATTGGGCGCCCCTCAATGGGGCGGGGCGCCGGCGTCTCCAATCAGCGCAGGGGACGTAGAGCACCGTCGTTCGGTTCATTGCGGCTCTGGCGGACCGATTTCGGTCAGAAACCGGTCCGAAAACCCTCTCCCCCGGCGGAAACACCGCCCGGCTCTATCGCCGGGACGGGGTAAAAAACCTGCTAAAACCAACGTTATTTCCACACGCTCCCCTTGCCTTTTATAGCGGCCGCCGCGCTTTTGGTGATGAGCTAGAGCGGCGCCTAGCGGAACACTCCGTCCCTTTAAGCCGTTCACGTGATATTTCTTTGCCCGCGCGCTCCCATAGGGAAACGCGGAGTGAGCTCGTCGCCCCTATAAAGCCGGTCGTGGTCAGGACATTGATGTCTAGGGCGAAGACTATGCTCGCGTGAGGCTGACTGAAGAAAGGAGGAAAAAATGAAAGCCGTTTACAATTCCCTGTAACGTCGGTTAGAGCGCAGCTATTGAGGAGGAGGATGGAAGCGTACTGAGGGATAGGTGACTCCTTGAGGTCACGTGACTTCAGGCGTGACTCCTTGTGGTCACGTGTCGTGTGACGTCAGGGGTGTCACGTGACCTCAGGGGGCCACGTGACCTCTGGGGGTCACGTGACCTCTGGGGGTCACGTGACCTCTGGGGGTCACGTGACCTCTGGGGGTTCACGTGACCTCGGGGCTTCACGTGACCTCGGGGTATCACGTGACCTCGCGGTTACGCCGACGACGACGGCGACGGCGCTCAAGCCGGAAACGGGTCCCTAAGAGCTGTGCTCTAAAAAGCGAAAACCATTTACAACTACCTGTAATGCCGAGTTAGAGTGCAGCTCTTGAGAAGGAGGATGGAAGGGTAATGAGGGGAGGGTATACCCAAATACTTTACTAGGGGGAATACATTCCACTCTGCTCATTTGCATTAGACAGAACGCCTACAGCGCCGCTGACGGTGTGGAGGTCCACGTCAGTCCACGCGCATGTGCACGTGGATGTTCGCGACGGCCGCGGCGGTGTCGTCTCCGCGAGGTGCGTCGGCGCACGAGGCACGTGCAACGTGCAACCCTTGGGAAGATTACGGCGGCACAGCGCAGCAAAGTATTTGGCGCAGCACTGAGCTATACTTCGGTTCACCTTATCTGCGAGCGAAGGCAAAGCTAAAAGCGCGAGAGCAGCGCTTTTTGCGTTTCTGCCCAGCTCGCGCGCTCGAGCAAAGCCTGAACGCGCGGAGCTTTCGTGCTCGCGCTTCCAGCTTTGCCTTCGCTCGCACATAAGGTGAAACGAAGTATATTTACCGCCCGGTAGCCGAGACCTCCACGACGATAGATGGCTCTCGCCAAGCCCAGAAAACCTGTCCGCGCCGAAGCTATTGTATTTGAGAGGAGTGGAATCTATTCCCCCTAGTAAAGTATTTGGTATACCACTCCTCGCTCCTCCTCACCTCCTTATCCTCCTCCTCCCCTCACTCATTCTTGAATCTCCTCGGGGGGGGGGGGGGGGGGGGGGGGTCACGTGACCTCCGGGGGAGGGGGGGGGGTCACGTGACCTCGGGGTGTCATATGACCTGAAGGTCACGTGACCTCGGGGGAGGGGTAACGTGACCCCCCAGGTTACGTGACCCCGGGGGGGGGGAGCTGCCGCGGTGCATTATGGGACATTTCCCATAATGCACCGCGCGGTGCATTATGGGAAATGTGCCGCGCATGATGGGACATTTCCCATAATGCACGGCGATAGCGACGCCGCTCAAGCCGGGAACTGGCTCCTAAGAGCTGCGCTCTAAAAGTGAAAGCCATTTACAACTCCCGGTAACACCGAATTAGAGCGCAGCATTTGAGGAGGAGGAGGGAAAGGTACTGAGGGGGGTCATGTGACCTCGAGGGGGTCACGTGACCTCGGGGAGGGGGTCACGTGATCTCGGGGAGGGGGTCACGTGACCCCCCCTCCCCGAGGTCACTGAAGTTACCCTAGGTCCTCCCGAGTGCTTCGAGGGGGGGGGGGGGGGGCTCGCGGTTACGCCGACGCCGCGACTCCGACGCCGACGGCGACGCCGCTCAAGCCGGAAACGGGCGCCTAAGAGCTGCGCTTTAAAACGGCTGCCTTGTGCTGCTTCTGATTGCCTCCTGCCACACCCGTCCGCCGCCATCGCCATCGTTGCTCGCTGCTCGTTAGGTTACCTTAAGGCTTACAACAACGACACGAAAATTTCCTTGGCTGGTAGAGGTATAGAGCTTCGCTGTTATAAATAAATCCACATTTAAAAATTAAATAAACAAATCATCCATAAAAAATAAAACCATAATCAAATAAAAATGTCCTTAATAGATTAAATGATCACCTAATTAAATAAACAGGTCATAACTTAACAAGCACTTCCTTAATTAAATACAAACAATTCTTATTTTGATTTGCTACTTTTATTTAAACAAATAACATTTTAATAATATAAATACGTATATAAACAAAACAATATCGGTTCCACAGGCTGGTGAACTTGTTCATACAAACGGTTATGAATAAAAACAGAAGCAGGCACTTAACTAATAGTAATAATAATGATATAATAATAAAAATCCATTTTATTTCCATCATGATACATCAATGGAGGAGACCATGGAAAAAAGCTGTGTCGAGACAGTTTGACGAGCCCATGGCCCCCTGATTGGCAATGAAATACAACTTGGTGGTGCAAAAAAAATGGTACAAGAGCAAACATGGAGAAATTATACAATTATAATACAAGCACTGTCTGAAAGCAAAACTGGTGGTTTTATTATGGTTTCAGATCTAAAACCACACCGCGAAGTTCAGAGAGAGACATTTCTGCAATGTTAAATGTTTTCCCTCTAGCCAATTTAGTATTTTAGGGAGCGTGTATTTTAACATTTGCTACCCATAGTTATTATTACATTTAGAAACTTTCCAGCATTCGATGCGTCGAGCAGTGTACGTAGGTATACGGCACACTGTGGGGAGGCTAACTCAGAAAAGAAGCTTGAGTGTCTAATTTGTTCCAACTTAAAAGAGGAAGTCAGCCTATAATTATATAGTTGTTTTATATCAAGTACTTGGAAGCGTTCAAAGAGCTGTTGAGTGTAAGAGTGATAGGAAACATTGGAAATAATTCTCAACATTTTCTTCTGCAACAAATATACTTCCTCTAGGTTTGTAAACGTGGGAGTGCCCCAAACAAGGTGGCAATAAAACAATGAGTTGTAAATTAATAATTTAACGCTGGTTGGGAGTACAAACTGATGACGATGTATTAGTCCAATAACACGTGATAATCTTGAAATAACACTGTACATGTGTGTCCCATAACATATTTTCTGAAAAGAGAACTCCTAAAGTCTTAAAGGAACTAAGCATTTCTATTGGACATGAATTTAAAAAAAGTGTCTGTTTAATTCTATTATTTTATTTTTTTTGGCCGAAAAAGTACTGCTTTTGTTTTATTAGTATTGATTTTCAATGTTTTAGTTGTTGTTGCTGGTCCCAGTTGAACCCTACTTGGCCCCAGTTGAACCCCACTTGGTCACCGTTCCCCAACTGGTAATGGTGAGACCCATTGATCTCCAACTGGGAATGGCTTCGACCAATTGGCACCTCAGCTGGTCCCAGTTAGCTCAGTTTTGTTCCCCAACTGGGAATAGCCAGACCAGTTGACTCCCAACTGGGCATGGTTGCAACCAGCTGGCCCTTTAGCTGGTACCAGTTGGCCTGTCAGCCGGTACCAGTTGGCCTGTCAGCCGGTCCCAGTTCAATCCCAGTTAGGACCAGTTGGGACCATTTAGTTCCAGCTTGGACCAGTTCCAACTGGTCCCAGTTACAAACTTTTGCCTGGGGCACTGATTGGTCCGCCGGACCGATCAGCCGCCTCCCTTTTATCACCTGACGACGCGGCTTAGTGACAAATGCGCCCTGTGCGCGTACACAATTGGCTTTCTCTTCACCCCCCTCCATCTTCATTGACAACGCCTACACACACACACACACACACTGCGCGTGGGTGTGGGCGGAGCGTTTGGGGCGGGAGTATGATGACGTGACGAAAGAGAGGCGTATGAGTGGTCCAACGAGGACGTCGCTTTCACAGCAATCTCAGCTTAGGGGTGAGCCAAGCATATATCAGAAGCTATTCACGTGGCATCGCAAGTGGCAGCCGACGAACAGCAACATTCGTCGTAGTATAAGTGTCAGCTAGGTTACCTAAACATCTCGCTACACAAAACGTTCGGGGCCGCAGTCAGAACTAAGGCATTTTATACTAAGAGGAAAATTTCAAACAAAAACCCCCTTTATGTGTTGGCGACAGCAGCCGCGGTCATCTCGTTTCCGGTAGGTACTCAGTCTGCCAGCGAACGAAAAGCAATCTAACAAAATGAGAAGCAAAATACACTATTTCTCATGAAGATATTATCAGTCACTAACACTGGTGAATACTGTCCCGTAGTACTTTGCGGACTGTCTAACATACACACGCTTCGTAGAGGCGTATTCCGGCACAGGTACAGAAAAAGCATTGCGGTGTGTTACCGTCTTTCTCTTTCATCACGTCGAAATCATTGAAGTCGAGTTTCGAGCCACTCCTGCGACTGAATCAGGTGAGAACACACACAGAGCAACGCTGGAAGCGGGTACCTTTGCGAGTTTGAGGTAGGGAACCTTTACTTCGGGGCAGGATCGAAAAACACGGACGCCAGAAAATGCGGACCAGCTGAATGGGGAACCGAAACCGAAACTACGGTCACAATTGTCATAATCTTCGCGAGAATGTGATTTTGAAAATAACCTGATAAAATGTTAAAAACTAAAGCAAGTGTTTTTCTATTTCGCATAGCTTGGAGTTTAATCTTGTTTGTCTTAAACTGTTTTTATTAACTCAAGCGTAACGTTGACTCAAGCCGTTGACTCAAGCTTATAATTTCGCCAAAATTAGCTGCAAACAAAAACACGCAACGCCACCATGTGCGAGCCTCGATTTTCGTCACTTCCGTTTTCCGCTTCGCCTAGTTGTGGAGTCACGATGACTGACGTTCGAAAGGGAAGGTGTTCGCGGACCACGGAACGCTCGGACTCCAACTGACCAGCAGCTCGGCCGACGATGGACGTGTCGCCGGAGTCCCCAATGGGGCCCAAACTGCAGAAGCCGCTCGCGTACAACCGCCTGCTCCCGTACGGCGAGCAGATCGCCGACGAAGCGGCCTCTCTACTCGCCGAGATCAAGGCAAACCTCGCACGGGCCGTCATGCTGCGCGAGGTGAAGCCATCTGCAGTCGCCTGGACCGGACACCTGAACAAGTAAGAGCAGTCGTACTGGTTAACACGATGCAGTTAACGGACGAGGCCACAGGCGCCCTCCACTGCACCGTCCAAACCTCGCAACACTTGTCCAGCTGGTCACCTTTTTTTTTTTTCTTTTTTTTTCTTCTTCTCCGGTTTTGTTTGCACGTTCCGAATTTCGACTTGGTGGATGCGTTTCGAGCGTCACTTCACTCACATTTCTTCTTCGTGCGGCTTTCTCTGCGTTTTCTTATCCTGCTATCTCGACGCGATCGACGCGGAAAAATTTTCCCGGCTGTTTGAGCGCCGCTGGCACTTCCCCGAGCGTGCCGTGGCCCCTATACGCGGTCCGCAAACGAGCGAGAGCAGCCGCGATCACATTGGGCACGGCCTCTTCCAAACCGCAGTCTTCCTGTACGCCAACATAAACCCACTGAGATTCGCTTCATGTTCTGCCGCAACACGGGGATGACGGGGATCTGAACGCGATGTGGTGCCGCGTGCAAGAAAACCGCGGTTCGTTCGAATTCGCGTATCCTCTGAGCGACATTCGCGATATTTTCCTCAAGCGCGGATGGCTAAAAGTGTCCAGTCATCAAGGGGCTAAGGAGGCGCACTTTGTTTTTTTTTTTCACATGATTTGAGATGGGAGTAGCTTAGTACAAGCGAGGCTTGCAAAACTCGATGCGGCGCGTGAGGTGGGTGCTTTTTTTAGCTTTAGCTTGCTTTAGCTGAGGGCTCTGAGGAAGTCTTTCTCGCAACGTTGTCAGCGTGAGCGCGTTTAGGAAACTGCCTCTGAGGCGACATGAGGCTTGCGAGACAGAACGATCTAGTCGCTAAAATGGGAACGCCCTCAAAACGGGTTGGCTTGTGCCGCCTCTTGGCTCTCTCACTGATGGACATCATAGGGTGGGGTTTTTTTTTAGCTTTAGCTGAGGGTTCTGAGGAGGTCTTTTTTGCAACGTTGTAAGTGTGAACGTTTCGGAAACAGCCTCTGAGGTGACTTGAGGCTTGCGAGACAGAGAGATCTATTCGCTAAAATGGGAACGCTCTCAAAACGGGGTTGGCCTGTGCCGCCTCTTGAGATCGGTGGTGGGCCTCACATGTCAAGGTCGGACTACTACTTGATTTCATTATCAGCACCGTAACCAGAGGCGCCCATGGTTTACGCAAGTGCGGTTGCAGATTGCACCAGCGTCTACTATTTTTGTGTAGTTTGGGTAAAGAGGACACCGTGTTCAAAACTATTGAGGATGTGTGGCCACAGAACCTTCGGTAGTTTAAGTTGCATGAATGTTTTAAATCAATTGAGTGGTAGTTTAAACCTCTGAGATGTACGCTATTTGTATTGTAATAATCACTGCGAAGGAGAGTGCTTACAAGAACCATTGCTATGTGGCCTTGGAAGAATTCAAGTTTTGTAGCTTCGATTAATGAGATAATTATTTACTGTCCTCAATTTATGCATGCATATGTGGGTGATGCTCAGCAAAGGCAATCAATTGAATGTGTTGAATCATTATAATGAAAATACATACCGAATATCCTTTATGCAAACTCTATATTTTGCAAATTTGGTCCAAGCTAGACTAATTTCATCAAATAAGACATAAAAAAAAAAAAAAATTCCAGTTTTTATATGTAGGATTGCACGCCTTTGGTCAACCATTTAAGTCAGCCTTTTGTCCAGAAGACAAAAGGTAAATTAGCGTTTGTCTCGTGCACTTCGTTGACACCGACCTCGGTTCGCTTTTCGAGGAAACAATAAATGGCCTTCTCGGCGCGAAATGTATTTTTGCATTAGCAAGCTTGCCTCCCACTGGTGTTTTGCGCTGCTTGGATCTGCGGTTGTCGAGCGTTCTCTCACTTTAGCAAATGGAATATCAATTTCAATTGACAGTTTTCAAAAATGCATGCCATCCGCTGCGCCAATTACCGGAGTGCTCCATTATTTGGGCACTTTTGACGAGCACGTATTGGACACAAGGGCTGTGTCGGCACTCGGCGTGAACTCGGCTAGACTCGCGTCTAGAAGTAGTGCTGCGCCGGTGTTGGGCGAGGATTCGGATCCAATCCCGTGCTCCGTGCCCAAAAAATGGCGACCGCCAGCGTTGCTCGACGGTGTTCCGAATAGGTTCTGTTGCAGCAGTTACCGCTAGGAGTTGCAGTAGCGTCAAGAAGCAACACAATCCGGCTACACTTTGGCAGGAATTGTCAGCGAGGATTTCCAATTGAGTTCTTCAGGTGGGCATGTGTTCGAGCATGTGGCTTATTTTATTTAGGTTATAAAGTGAATAGAAAATATGCCGTTCTATAGCCGTGGGTCAGTGAAAGGAGGATGCCCCGGTCGACCGCCAGTCTGTGCGGCTGGTGGCCAAAAAAGCCAGCTTTGGGCACTATACGCTACCGAATGTTTGGCCACGAGTGTTGTGTTGCGGTTTGGCAGGGCATTCAAGGCACTTAAGCTCCGTTTCGGGTCCGGTTATTGGGGCGGTGACTTGTCTCTAAACTGCACTGCGTGGCATTACCCGTCGAGCTGAACTTCACTGCATGGTCGGTATGCAGGTATAATTTCACACATTTATGCTGAGCAGAGTGTTTCTTTTTTGTGTCCAGACTGTGGTAATTTCGCCTAATTTGCTTGCGCCGCCAATTGTTTGCAAAATTGCTAAGACAAGGTTCTCGCTAAACTTGGGCTGTCTGCAGCGTGTGATTATTTGCGTAAGCAGAAAGGGTGCTCCGCTCCCCACTAGGAGTGTCCCGTGCCTCCAATGGGGCGCATGACTGCAAACTCTTTGCATCTTTGCCAGAGATGTCGTGATGGGAACTTCTAGGCGTGCGACTGATGAAGAGAGCCTGCAGTCAGATTTAAGCATTAATGAAACTGAGCACAAATTTTTAGTTTTTAAGACTATGTGGCTAAAGGTTTAGTCTGAACTTTTGCCTATTACATTGCATAGATAATCACTAAGTTGAATAATAATAATCCCATAATATTTATTTCGACTCACAAAAGCCATGGTCCCTCATATAGGCGGGTAGCTCGTAGCATAAGTGGCTTTAGGAGCCGCATCATGCGACAATGCAGGGAATATTTACGTATGAGTTAATGGTAAGTAATATTTGATGGATCATCATTAAATACTGATTGCCTTTTTAAAAATGGAATCTGTTGCTCATTACAGGTGACATTATGGTATTCATACGTTAGACATTACTTTTTATTACTTTATAATGGTCCTTCTAATTACAGTTAGGAACAGGGATGCTGGCTTTCAGTCGGTTACAATAATTTATTGTCGTATCGCTCGTCCCTGTGTGGGACATACTCTTCTCCAGTCGTTGTAAAACATGTACTTCTTTGTATCTATAGAGGCTCTAGACTAAAATAAAGGCACATAGAATTGTGAACTGCAAGGTTGTACAATTATATGTTTGGTGCAACGTAACACAGTGGAACTGAAGTTTCATTACTGCTTTGCGACTAACAAGGAAAATGGGTATTCTTTAAAGTTGTCGATGATTCAAAAGGATCTTGAACAAAGCAAGCCAGTCTTTCTCTGAAAGGCCATCCCCCTACTTTTCAGGAATTACCCGCAACAAGACAATCTCCTTCAACTGATGTAGTTTCCTCAGTTTTATTTGTCGAATTTCGCAGCACTGGGACCATACCTAATTAACATGTTTTTGTCAGTTGATATTGTGTTTCTTTGGGCTATTAGGGAAGAGAGGAAGGGCTACATGACTCTGTTGCTAATTTCTCAGTCTTTCCTCAAGGTTTTGCTACATACCGCAATGATAAGAAAGGACATGGTAGTTGTACTTGCATGCTTTATTTCATTGGAGAAATTAACTGGTTTTTCCACACAACAGTCTGGTTGCAAGTCATTTCTGATGCCTCATGTTTATGAGCATGAGGTGTTATTAAGCTGCGGTAAGTTATTTTGAAGTGCTTTTATGAACATTATAAATCACCGAGAATATATAAAATCTGAACAAGAAAATGTAGTTAGCAAGATTCCAATTGAACTTATAATTATATTCGCAATATCATTGACTTATGACAACTTTTTTCTATAATGGAAGGAATTGAGCAGGTGTTAACTTGATGGTACAGTTTTCTGTGAGTTGGAGAAAGAAAGCTAATGAAGCTACACATTTTTCTTTTTAATGGAGATACATGTTTTTATAGCTCAGTAGAAAAGAATGTTGGCCACATTGTAAATGCAGCACTTCTAAAAAGGGTACTCTAATAATTTGTGCATCACCAAAAAGCAGGGTAGTGTATCGTCAAATGTAGTAAAAAGACATATTTTTATTTTTTGCATTTTGGTGATGGTTTTAGTTTTACTGCTATCGAAACACGAAGATGACTGTGTGTTGAGACTTGTTAACTCATCGGCTACCACGCTTCCGGGCCCTTTATACCGCTTGAATTTTGCCCTAGAACTTGGCTAGTCTCTGTATCATTGTTTTGCTGGTGTAACCTGCTTTTAGAGTACAAAGTAAATGTGGCAGACAAAGAAACATGTTTACTTACACCTCAAAGACATTTACTTCAGCCAATCACTCGCGTAGTCAAAAGAAATATTTTTCTCGTGTGGAAGATCTCGAAGCGTTGGGCATATGGACAGCTGCGCCACATTTCTCAACTTCCTGCCGGCTCTCACTTTGCTTCCCTTGTGCCTTGCACACTTGGCACTGCCTCATATCAGTAGATTCCCCATCTCTCTCGAACAGTTCACCAGTAGATTCTCCATTACCTTCTCCGAGGAAGAGAATGTTGATTTTCGTCGTTCAAAAGGCTGTGCCGGCTACTCGCTGCTGCCATCTTTTCAGAGAGTAAGCATTAGTTGAAAGCACCAAGATCATACAAACAGGAAGCCAAGCAAACAGTATGACTGTCACCATCTGATAGTAATATATCCAACTCTGCCACAATAGGTAGTTGTAGCGCGCCATCTCTGACTTGCGTTTTTAACCACTAAAGTTTACTGCTCGACGATTCACTGGCTTTG